CTTCTCCCACTGAGCAATACATAAAAATCATTATAGAGACAGACAATTTCACAATAAACCTACCTTGTCTATGCCACATTGAGCACACAGTAATAAAGTACATTAAATGTCAAAAATAATAGCTGAAAAACGTGAAGAAAATCATATTACGTTAACGCACGTCACATGGTCAGCACCATGTCGCGAACAGCGCCTATTTCAACCAACAGGAAATAGAGGCTCGGTTTGGCAGAGGCGCCGCGTCGGAGGAGAGAGAGAGAGAGAGAGAGAGACGGCGTCATCGGACAGGTAAGAGACAAAAGTACAGATACATAAATATTTACACTCAAGTCTGTACTGTAGTACCGTTCTTTACTCCTTTTCCTTTGTTATGTACAAATAAGCTCTGACATTCACAGGATTCTTTATCAGTTTCACTTTTTTTTCACTTTTCTTTCGAATCAGAGTAAAATGTGTTTTGCCCCTTTACAGATATGACATACAGTATAAGCAGCTCTTGAAATTTCAAAATAAGTCCACTGTGTTTTTATTTTATGGTCCGTGAATCAGGAAGTGTGCTAGAGTTTTTTTTACAATGTGCACAGAATGAAGTAAGACTAGTGTGCTGTTAGCATTTTGGTAAATAATTATAATAATTGTAAATAATTAGGATCCTTGAAATGTGTTTGGAAAGTGAGCAAGTTTGGACCACTGGTTTAAAATGAATTACTTCTGTAAAAATGAGGTACTGTACAGCACTTTTAAATGATCTATCTATTTATGGCTAACGACTGGAATGATCAAAAAAATGAATAGAACTAAACAAGTTTCTTACACCAGATGCCCTTCCTTCCTGACTCATGTTCACACAACAAACACTGATGTTGCTGCTTCACCCTTTAGACAAACATTGACCAGCTCAGAAATAAAATCATGTGGATTATAAAGGTTAATTTCAGCAATAAACTAGAAATATTCTCCAAATGTTTCATGGAAAAGTGAGTGACTCTTCCTCTCCAGACCTCTCTGTCCCGCATAGTGACATCACATGGTGGAAGTGTGGGAAATGCTCCCGTGTTTTATAAAGTCCATACACCTGCACCCTCTGCTTTGCATTATGGAATCATTTTAATCTTTTCTATACACAATTCTGAGCTGCAGGGCCTATTACAATAGTAAATTTGGAAGTATGAGATACCGCTACACAGAAATATTGCAATAAAAATGTAATATTATCAATTATTCATTATTATGCATTATTATATTATTACTGCCACTGATTAAGATTAAAATAAATCAATATAATCCCAGTAAACTATTTTTAACTATACAGTATCATTCAAAGGCCTGAGCTAAAACAAATAAAAAGCAGAATGAATACATAATTAGCCATAAGAATGACTTATGACTTATTCAACTCTGTACAGCTCAAATTTTATCGTATCACAAAATAACCAATTTCTCCCAACTTTTACAAAGAAAATGCACATATGGTACAAATATAATATTCCGACACAAAGCCAGATTAAGGATATAAGTGCGGGCACAGTGGGGCAGCAGAAGCACGAGAGCAAACTGTAGTTGTGTCGTCAGGCAAGACACAACAGAGGTGTGTGTGTGTGTGCGTGTGCGTGTGCGTGTGAATCATTGTTGGTAGTCAGACAGGCTGATGGTGCAGATTGGCAGCATCACTTCTGTTCGTCTGCATCTAAAGATTTTGGGCTATACAAGGTGTGGGCAATTCTTTATTTTCCATGAGGTCACATGAGAAACAGAAAATATTGTGGAGGCCAAAATGTTTAATTCGATTCTGCATAATATGAATTGTATTTCTTGATAAAAAGCAGTAAATATCATTGTTTTGACAAACTGCTCAGACTGGTGAGAGTTTGTGTTCTGACTAAACAATGAAAAAGTGTCCATGCATGAGGTCAAATGATAAAAGATGCTTATTTTGTAATTCCAAATAATCTTAAACAGGTCAGTCAGGATCAACCAAAGGGCCGTATGTGGCCCCAGAGCTGGACAATGCCCAGGTCTGGCCTATAGGCTCGGTCAGGATTATTTTAGCTCAGTATAATAATGTATTATTAGGACTTTTACCTTACACAAATGGTTTCTTATGAGCTTTATGCCATGTTATAGTTTCATTACCTCATCAAAAACAGACCTGGAGTTGTGTTTTGATTCATTCACACATGTTTGAGTAACAGATGAAGAGAAGAGGTAGAGTGCTTCACTGGGTCATAAAAAAAATTAAAAACAAAAAACCAGCAGTGTACATGTGCTCTACAAGGGTTAAACTTAACAGTAAATTACCCTTACTGAGAAATGTAAAGGTGGGTAAGGTACAAAGCGAGGCACACCCACTGAATATATTAAAAGCCCTCTAATGCATGAAGAGACCCCAAAGCGTTTCGACCAGCAAGATGCTCTTCGTCAGGGCATAATCCACCTACGAAGAGCATCTTACTGGTCGAAACACGTTGGGGTCTCTTCATGCGATAAAGGACTTTTAATATATTCAGATATTCACTTGTTTGTGTTAAGATGTTTGAGTCTGTCTACATCTCCATAGCTCAAAATGATCTGTTCCACCTTATGATGTCATCTACTGTAGTAGTAGTTTTCAAATCAACAACTGCCTTTTACCGTTAGTTCAGTAGAGATTGGCAATTCTAGGTCTAAAATCATCCAAACGATTCTAGTGAAGGTGTGTGGAGTTTAAAAACACAGTGGAGCTTTTTGGCGCTTATTTCTCTTGTTGCAAGACACCATCTCCTTTTGCATTGGAAATCTACAAAAGCTCCATCCAGCACTCAAGGAATTAATGACGTTATGTCAGGTACTCCAAGAAATGTAACATAAAGACATTTTTTAGAAAGTGGCAGCCATTTATTGACTTATTTAAAACCATCTAAACCAACCACCCACCCATCTCTTTTTTTTAAATTTTATTAATATTATTATTTATTTTTTTTATTATTATTATGTTATTGTATTTATTTATTTTATTTTTATTTGTTATTAATATTAGTAGTAGTGTATTTTTTATCATTCTATTACTATTTTATTGTATGACGCTACTCCTATTTCTTGAGTGATTTGTTTTTGTTAATTAACTTTATTAGTTATGTTTTATCTGCATAAAAATGAAAAAAGTGTGTGTACATGTGTTGTTTGAATGACATTTCTATATCTGTTGGCTAAGGGTGTGCAAAAATACTGAAATATCAATATATCGTATTGTTCAATGTGATGATACAGTATCAATATTGTGGGCTGCTGTATCGATATATCACCAAGAGTATTTTTTGGTACATTTTACAAAATTATTTTGTTACAGTGCTGCAATTTTGTTGCTTGTTCAGAGGAAGGAAACTCTTTTATCATTTGACATTTTTCATTGTTTTTATGATTAAAATGTGTGTGTTTCATATTCATTTTGCACAAAAAGACTTTTAGTTTCACAGCCATCATTTAGTCTTTTTTTTTTTTTTATCGTATCAAATTGTTTTGAAATGTATCAAATCAAAAGCTCACTGTATCGAGATATGTATCGTATCGTGACCTAGGTATCGAAGTATGTATCGTATCGCCAACTTCTTAATGATACCCAGCACTATTGTTTGCACATGAATAAAAACATATGAAACCTAAAAACACAGTGGATCACTTCCTGTATCACCACGTGACATCACAAAGTGGAACAGAGTGTTTTCAGCTTGAGAGAAGAACTAAATATGCAGGATTTTTGTGTGTCAAACATGTGTAACTGAAAGTCCCGGTCTGTTTATGATGAGAAAACATTAGAACATAAATCAGAAAACAGCGCCATGGGCTTTTTAAAAATCGATTTGTTCACATTGTTATCAGGTTTTTTTTTTTTTTGTTTTTTTTTTTCTAGTGAAATTTTTGAAGCAAATAAATAAACTCAGTGAAACAATCTTTTGAATCGCTCTGGCAAACCAACGTTACGATTCGACCCCCCCCTTAACTGCACGAGCATAAATCACATCTCACTGCACCCAGCTCCACTGCACCCGTTTGACCCTCCTCACACCTCCTCCTCCTCCATCCCTCCATCCCCTCCTCTCCTCCCCGCTCACGCACGCGCTTCTCCTCCATCCCTCTCTCTATTTCTTCGCATCTCTCCATCCTCCCTCTCTCTCTGAGGCGCAGCAGACGAGTGGCGCAGTGGAGTACACGCGTGTCCCTCCCCTGTACCCACGGCGAAAGCGGCCTTAACTTTCCACCGCATCCGCCATTTGCGCTGTGCACGGCGGCGTGAGGCTGCTGGGGGGGGAAGCCGGGGTGCGGGGTGGGGGCAGCGGGAGTCCCGGTGATGGAGCCCGGACCCGTTTCGTAATAGTTTGATCCCGAGAAACGCAGCGACGGGGCGTGTGGAAGTCCTATTTTGCCGCATTTAGGCCGCGTATGGATTTTTGAAACACGGATTGGCGTGGGATACTAGTCCAGTCTAAGACCTGGTTTAGTCCCACACTTAAAATCTGACGTAGTTCGTTTTTCTGTCTTAGTTCTGGTTCAGATCTGGTTCATCCCTACACGTTACGATTCTAGAAAATGGTGCGTAATGGGCCACGCTCCCGTATTCCCTTCGACGCTGAAAACGAGCAGGGCTAAAGGGCGGATGTAGGCTCCGTGTGCACCCCCCTCCTAGGCGCATCCATCCTTATAACACACGCACGTACACATTTCTACATTTCGGCTTTTACGCACGAAGCGAATTCCACATCCCATTCGAGCTAATAAAGGAATTACGCAACAGCGAATGCGAAGTGGCCACTGCAGATTATTCGCTTTAAACAGCGCACAATAAGCACCTCCTTCATCCCTTGGCTATATCCACCATCCTCATCCTCGCCCAGATGCTCGGCCAGACGGGCATCCTCATCTCGGAACCGTAAACGCGCACGGACGAAGCACAGCGCGTAAAACATGTGCAACAAACGCAGCTAATTACGCACGAAAGATTGTGTTGGATTAAAAAAATGACTTACTTTCACCGACCACCGCCTTTAGTCCGATAGGAGCCATGATGCAGCGACTGTAGTGCGACCCTTCCTCGGCAGGCTGGCTTGCGTCGCTTGACGCGCTTCCTCCCCTCCCCTTCGGTGTGTGCGCGTGCCCGTGGAGGGTGCGTGAGCGTGCGTGCGGGTTCACCTCGCGTCTCTGCGGAGGAGCCTGGAGCGCAGACGTCAGTGCGCGTCCGTCCGCTCCGAGCTGCTATTGGCCGGATCCAGTGCCAATACAGAAGTAACGAGCGTGAGGAGTGAAGTGAGGAGACGTGTGGACGTGAGCAGTGGACGTGAGCAGTGGGCTTAGGAAACGTGTGGACGGACTGAGCGCGGGTCAGAGGGAAAACACACGAATATTTCAACTAGAAGAAAAAAGGACTTGTCAAAGAAACCAATGAGTAAGATTAAAATTAGGATATTGGCTTTTTAAGAGAGTTACTTCCTTGAGTAGTAAGTAACTCTCTTCATGTAACACCTGACACATCATTTCAAGTTAAAGGAACTGTGTTGGGTCATATTTTTATTCAGCGCTTTTCCACCTTCAAGACACTTAAAGCTCTTTACAACAAGTAACCACTCACCCATTCATACAACAGTGTACACAGACACTGGGGCGAGGTGGGTTAAGTGTTTTGCGTGAAGATGCAACAACAGCATTTATACATGGGAGCTGGAATTGCACCACCCAACCTGCGGGTCAGTGAATGTGACCGCTCAAACCATGATGTTTATGTCGAGAGCGAGATCTGAATCACCAACCTTCAGACCAGTGGACAAACGCTCAACCAACTGAGCTAGTCACCCTGCCGTATTCAAGTTTTTTGTTTTAATTTTTCATAAACTCTGTGTCAGTGTCAAAATTCACAGAGGCCATTAAAAACTGTGACTAAGTCGTGGGCCAAACTAAATATTTATTGAAAAATTTGCATGTTTTCTCTTCTATATGTAATGTTAAACCTTTTCTTATCAAATAAATGTTTAATAATAGTTTTGCTTATACATTGAATCCAGAACAAACAGAATATAAAATAATAACATTTTAAATATTATATTATATTATATATAAACATAATATAATAATCTGTAGCTGGCGGGCAGCTCTAATACATATTTGATATTATCTCAAGGGTCAAATATAATAATCATGAGCCAAATTTGACCCCTGAGCCTGAGTTTGACATGTCTCTAATACAGCTTTTACTGATAACAACTGTGATGCTGATGTATTCTTGAGTACAAAAACACTGGACATGCGGGACATGATGCCTCATGTTTTGATTTGGTGTTTAGCTTCTCAGGATCATGTCAGAAAGTAGAATGAGCCTGTCATTAGTCTCTCATTTGGGTTGCCAATTTCAATGCTGAAATCCTGTTGGTTTAAACCTAAAATGTCTCTCTGATCTGAATGGTCACTCCCTAAACCCCAGCACCTGCTCCAGTCATGAGTCAGTGCTAGTGCAGCCTCTGCAGCTCAGGGAGGGAATTCTGGAGGTCCTGAAATTTCACATGAGCCATGATCTGTCCATAAACTGAGAATGAGGCAATGGAGTAAAACTTGTATGTGTCTGTCTGCAGGCAGAGGTGAGGACTTGCAAGTCGTGACTTCGATTCGAGTCAGACTTGAGTCACTTGAGATTTGACTTGATAAAATGGACAAAGACTTGGGACTTAACTTGGACTTGAAGGTCAGTGGCTTAGAACTTGACTTGGACTTGAGGCCTGTGACTTGAGAAGACTCTGAAGCACTTTTAAATCTGAATTCACTCTAAGACAGACATGTCAAACTCAGGGCCGGGGGCCAAATTTGGCCCACGATACAATTATATTTGGCCCATGAGATCATATCAAATCTGTATTAGAGCTGCTTGCCGGCTACAGATAGACTATAGAGACATTATTTGTTTAACATGTTGTTATTATTATTTTTATTTTATATTCTGCTTGTTCTGGATTCAGTGTTTAAGCAAAACTATTATTAAACATTTATTTTAATAAGAAAAGGCTTAACATTACATATAAGAGAAAACATGCAGATGTTAAAATTTTTCAATAAATATTTAGTTTGGCCCACGACAATTTTGAATTTTGGCCTCTGAGAATTTGAGTTTGACACCGCTGCTCTAAGATCTTGTCAAGACATTTAAAAAGGAAACATTTCCTAAATTAATTTCTACAACTCTTATATACTCTATCAATACTCAAATATAAATATACTATGATTATTTTTAAGTACAAGTTATCTTAAAATTCATATAAACTGCAAAAATTTAAGCTATATTTGGTGCTTTGGTTTAAAGACTTTGAATGACTTGAAGCTCAAAGCAAGTGACTTGGACTTGGCATGGACTTATGAGTCAGTGACTCGAGACTTGGACTTGCTTGTATTTGACTTGGGACTTGACTCGGACTTGAGGTCAAAGACTTGAGACTTACTTGAGACCTGCAAAATGACAATTTGGTCCAACCTCTATCTGGAGGTGACACCACGCTCAGCCGTCTCAGCCGCAGTCTGGAATTTTTGGACATAGGACCTCATTTCCTAGTGAGCCAGAGTGTTGGAGATGTGTGGAGACACTTGTGTGAATGTCTGTGTTGATAGAATAATGTTTGAAATAAAACTAACCTTGCATTGCAGGAATCATTGCATGTTGAGGGACAATTTTCTCAGCAGCAGTGGAATTTTATTTTGCCAGTAAGATAGGTGCTAGGTGATATCAGTTCACCGCTGCCAAACTTTATATCAGGAAGTACAACTCTCTGCTGCTCACACAGAAATCCTTCAAATGCAAGGACACAGACATTCACATGGACAGTCTGGGGGTAATAATAGATTTGTTTCGGGTGTTTTGTGGAGTGGGTAAGACTGTTTTTAGTGGCAGGAGAACTATGACCATTGACATGCACTAGTCTAGCACCAGTGACCTCTGCAAATACAAGGACTGGATGGAATATTTCAAAAAGTGTCTCCACACGTCTCCAACACTCTAACACTCTGGCTCACTAGGAAATGAGGCCCTATGTCCAAGATTCCAAACTGTTGCTTTAAACCGACTGGATTTAGTTGTAAATCCAACCCAAGTGAGAGACTATTTTCTGCTGGTCTCTTTATTGACATGTGTGTGTGTGTGTGTGTGTGTGTGTGTGTGTGTGTGTGTGTGTGTGTGTGTGTGTGTGTGTGTGTGTGTGTGTGTGTGTGTGTGTGTGCGTGCGTGCGTGCGTGCGTGTGCGTGTGTGCGTGTGTGTGTGACAAATATGACAATGCTCTGATGGAGGGGGAGAGAGGTTAAGTGAGGGAAGGGAGAGAGAAGCAGGATCAGTATGAATATTTGTACTGCATAATTATTGACATGTGTTGAATAGTGTTACATTGTAAGTAGATAATGTACTTTTTACTAGTCTATTTGTCCAAATACTTTCAATTCTAGAGCCTATTTATTTGTTTTTATAATATTCACCTGCTCAGGGACTACAGGTGTGAAGCAACATCAGCACATGGCACCAGCAGCTTTAATGTCGTCCTGTGCACTGTCCCTGTACAAACACTTCTGAGTAAAATCATGAACATAAACAGCACTGAGGCTTGGGCAGAAACTTTTAAACTTTTATTGTCTTTAAATTCCAATTCAAATGAAAATTAAATCAAAGAAACACATGCTGTCACACAGGAGGTACATGTGTAATGCACATTGTTTCATCCTTTCAGCCTTTTCTAAGTGTTTATAATAACTCAGTGATACATTTTCACATGTTTACACGAGAATATTACAAAATTCCCCAAAGACAAAAGAAAATTAAAACACAATATTCAAAGAGTTAAAATACACAGTACACACTTATTTCATTGAATAGAACCTTCAGTCCAACATTACCATAGCGATGTTCCCTCAGTCTAGACCAGGGGTGGGCAAACTTTCTGGCTCGCGGGCCACATAGGGTCCTAAAGTTTGACTGAAGGGCCTGACAGAAGACAGGACATAACGTGTTAAGAGCTCAGATTCATCACATTCTTATCCACATTTATCTAGGACTTCAGACGCGCGCTACACGTTTCGTCACTACTGTGAAAGATTCAGAACACATAAAACTGTTGAGACCTGTTCCACTGCACACCACGAGAGAATGTATATCCTGAGTTCACCGTTTTCGAATATGACTGGTAACAGCTCAAAAATGTAGCTCACACCATACAACCACAGATACACACCTGTGAATGTGATAAAACCTGACTCCTAAATGTTGTACACATTAATAATTATAACTTAGTCCACAGATTCCCTTAAAGGTTGTATGGAGGATTTTTTTTTGTTTCAAGTTGTCAATTGTTGTCAATGATAGCATTATAGAGGTGCAGTAGCCTTGTAATTATGATGACCAAAAAAAAGAGAATAAAAATTCATCAACTCTGGACGTGGTGGGGCCAGCTAAACATTTGCCAATAGATAACGACACTGCCTCGTTATCTGTTAGCTGACAGGCTGTCAATCAATCTCCCTACGTTTCTAGCGTAACTGACTTGCCTGCGCGCCACCGGTACGTGGCTTACGTACGCATGTCACGCAGTCCACAGACGCAAGACGCACAGACGCTGTTTACTCCACCAACGCAACAGTTCGTAGCGGCTTTTTTTGACCTATATCTTCCTCGCAGTTAGCACAAAGTTTGTTGCAATGGCAGACAAGAATCCAGGAGCAGTTAGCCACAAAAGAAAGTCCGTTTTTGAGGTCGCTGAAAGAAGAAGACAAGGGGAAAAGCAGGGAAGCCAAACTGTGATTCTTGAAGATTCATTCCAGCGATGGCGCGACTGAAGCAGACGCAGGGTCTAAAGACTGACGCATTGGTCGCCAAATTACTCCTGGACAGGTAACTTCTGCTTATTATGAAAACGTACTTTATTTCCAAGAGCTAGTCAAACGTTTTTCAGGACACGAAAGCGATATCCTATGTCTGAAAACGTAATTTTCAAGGCAAAAAAAGAGTCCGCTTGCTGCTGCGTGTTGTAGCTAGTTCATTCGCACAGAATCTCCGCGCAACCTTCTCTGCACCCTTTCCTGC